GGCAAGCATATCGTGAAAATTCCTATGAAACAGATACTGATATATGTTTAGCTGGTCTTATACCATCAGATAATTTACAACAAAAACGTGCAAATTTACTTAAAGTTATATCTGATGATACAGATTCAATATCAACATTATCATCATCATCGTCATCATCTAATGGTAATAAAAAGAAAAAACATAAAAATTGTTTTACTTGTGTAAATTCAAAACAAGAACGAAAACCTTTACAAATGGTTTATAATAATGTAACATTTATTCGTGATATTGATGATAAAGAAGCTCCAACTATAAGAACATCAACAAATCATTTTTCATTAACAGATACAAGAAAATTTGGTGATGAACAACCTTCAATAACATTAAAAAGATTTTCAGATAAGAATAAAGATATAACAAATGATTGTTTTCGTTTTTATGAACCTGTATTTCGACTTGATCTTTCGACAAAACAAATGACACGACCTATTGTTTTATTAGGTAAGAGAGATTTGACAAAAAATATAACATTTCCATAGAGGCGTAACTCAACAACAAAGACATGGAGCCTGTGTAGATTTTAAATAATATTGTTTCAGAATATTATTTAAGTTCTATAATGTACGCTATCAGAATTAATATCTAAAAGGCTTAATGTAAGAACTAGAGAATTAATTCTAAAGAATTCGTGATTCGCTTTTTTTTTGCATTTTTCGGAAGTTTGAAAGCATATTGTCCAATGAGCAATATTCTCTTACTAACTAGTAGTATATGTCGTAAGTGCCTTATCAATGACTTGCGTATTCCAAGATAGGTTCATTTTGAATGTTCAGTTAGCTAACAGATGAAAATATAAATATAGGTGACTAAGTCACAAGGGTTGAGTAGTCCATTACAAATCTTGTATAAACATCAATATTCTTTGCTGTTGTCGGAGGCTTATTATAACATTTTCTTAGTCGAATAGACTAAGTAAATATTGAAGTAGGGATCCTTCATTACAAGTGAAGGAGAATTATTGTATAGAAAATGTAAGCCTGACTAAATAGAATCTGCTAAAATTTTTCTTCCAGTTATAACAAATCGTAGAAAAGATTTAATTAGTCGAAAAAAAATCCTATCAAAAGAAAATAAGATGTTTCCGAACTCTACACTATTTATGTTCAGTGAACAACAACCATTATGCACCGGAACATCTTTTTCTTTTTGATAGAAAATTTTTGTTATGCCATTAAACTTTTTTTTATCACTAAAGTAGATTCTCGTTTTAATTTCTAGATGCGACTCTTATAAACAAAACAAAAAAGTGTTGAGTCTATCATAGAATCCCAATATTTCACTGACAATTGCTCTATTGCACAGATCTTCAAGTCCTAATTCGTATTTTCAATAACGAAAATATAACATTGATTCCATGCATTCTTTTTTTCCATCATTAATATTTATCAAAAAGTATATTCTTCTTCTTAGGCGCACCAAATGTTGGTCGACATGAATTACGTCGTCGTCTTTTACAAACAGAACCAAATCTTTTTGATGTTGCTATACCTCATACAACACGTGCTCGTCGTTTACAAGAAACTCCTGATGTTGATTATCATTTTGTTTCTGAAGCTGATTTTTTAGCTAAAGTTGCCTGTCATTCATTTATTGAATTTGGTCAATATGATCGTGATTTATATGGTACATCAATTGATAATATTCGACAAATTGTTCAAATAAAACGAAAAATTTGTATATTAAATTTAAATCCAGAAGCAATACGAGCATTTAATAAAACAGATCTCTATCCATATATAATATGTATAGCTGCACCATCATTTGAACGTCTTAAACGTTTAGAACTTGATCGTCGTGAACATTTAACTGATAAAGACTATCGTGAAATCATACGTAAAAGTCGATCTATTGAAAGACGTCATCATTTATTATTTGATCAAATTTTAATTAATAATGATTTAGATCGAACTTATATGGAATTACGTGATTTGATTGCACGAATACAAAATGTTAATCAACAATGGGTACGAACATGTTTTCAACGATAATGAATATTATCGTTTATTTCTCTATGAAAAATTTTTGTATATATTGATTTTGCTTTTGTCTTGAATAATAGAAAAAACCGAAGTATATTGATATGTTGCAAAGAAATGTATGTGGAACACATGAACAATCGTTAGTATGCTCTTGTTTCGATATTCATCGAATTATTATTTTACAGTCTGTATCAGTAACATGTAACCGATGACAACTCCATTAGATATTGGCAACATAGTCCCGCTTATGTCTAACGATAAAATATCTAGAGATAGAAATATGTCTTATTAATGCTATAGTTAATACTTTAATTTGTTAAGAATCATAATCACATGCGAAAACGATTTCGAAGTAAACAATAAGAAATGTATTTTTTACATCATGTTACATTTCATTTTCTATGCTCATTTATCAACACAACAAATACTGAAAAAAAGTAAAATAAAAATTGAGATATACATGGGAAGATAGTCTGCCATCTAATCTTTCATAAGCAATATAATTATTTATTTAGCACCTCGTGTTTTTCTATTCTCTGTGAACTTTCGTTGTATACATTAATTTTTTTGTTCGACAGAGCATGCTAGGACGTACAGTATGACAAAGTCATTCTTTTTAATTAAGCTTTGTTACTATTATAAGAAAAGAGTAATTTTAATTTTAAAAAAAGTAGTTCTGTCATGCCGTGCATCCTAACATGCTTCTTCAACCAAAAGAATAAAAATAAATATATAAAATGAAGATTAACAGAGAGCATTAGGTTATCAAATGAGTGACTTTTGATGCTTTTTAGTTGAATATCTCCCGAAAACCTTATGACATAGAAATGAAAGTTTCCTGCGATTTAAACTTCGTATAACATCAATTTTTTTTAATCAAGTTACTGTTAAAATCTATTTCATAATATCTCAATCATTTATGTGGCATAATTCTTATCACATTAACCATTATGTTCTTAGTTGATATGAAGTATCTAATAGATGAATCGATGTTTTTTGTTCCAATGAACATCAAAATATAAACAATTCTGTTCTTTTTTTCCACAATATTGACTTCTGTCAGATTAAATCAGATGTTCCATCAACAAAAGTAACATTATTTATTTTAATCATTCATATCTATCTGAACGCATACTTCAATTGCTTTTTATCATATATTCATTTACATATAGAAGTAATCAAGACATGAGTTGTATATTTGCCGACGCTACAATTCATTGCATTCTATACATATGAACAAATCGCATGTCTAAAATATTTCAATCGATAATGGATTGATCATGTTGTCATACATTTTTGACCACGAAATTAGTTTATCCAATAGCAAGTGTGAATTCATTTTTTTTCTAGTTATTTGAAATAAATATCTCAGATCAAATGATCAATACTAAAACTATGACTGATATATGAATATAACATAAGTTGTTAACAAATGTCTTGATTAGAATATACATTGTTCAGAAACAAAAAATTATCAATCCATATGCCTTCGAATACATCATCTGTTGTTATACTAAATCATCAATAACACATTTCACATTTGTTTGTTTTTTCTTTATCAATTCAGGTAAAGAAATTCATTGTTTCCTGTATATCATTTTATCATCATACGTTGACCTTGTACAGTCCTATTGTCCATTTTCCAATCATACATTTCATCATGTTCAATGCCATTAGTACATTTATTTCAATTGACATGAAAATGATGAATTAAAACATCATGAATAGAAGCCATTAAGTGTGTATAATATGTACATTGTTCTATTTTCACCTTTCCACCTACTTCTATTAAAAGAACTATGTTCAAGGACTATCATCTTTTTTTTTCATATTTATAGTTGTTTGTTGATCAACGAGTATATTACATAATTATACATTCTCATAGCCTTGAAATCACTCTTGTATATATATATATATATATTCATATGAAAGAAAGAAATCTGATCTAAGTAGGCAAGCTTAGGTTAGTTCCTTGACAATTTCTATTGATTCGACTGTGAGCGATTGCGATGAGGCTTCTTGTATTTGTATACTCTATTGAAGTGGTTGAATATTCAATTCAAAACTGTTCATTCAGTATAGGATTTCATGCTTACTCTTTCTCTCTCGCTCTTTTCTATTCTCAACAAATCCCTTTTAATTCATATTGTCCTTTCTGTTAATTGTTAGATATTGTACAGAATCAGTAAAGTGACAACTTCACAAAAATATTTAGATAGATAATCAGAGGTACCCATACGCCATAAATGATTATTATTATTAGTATTCTATGTTGATATTGCATAATATTTCTCGATCGTGCCTCCTAGTTGTTGTTATTGGCGCCATTCCTTTTGTAGAAGGATATCAATCTTGACATGTATATATAGGCTTTATGATTGAACAAATATCTCTTTTCTTTCTCATCGCATCCAAACAGTTAATTGAACTTTTCACGAATAAAATGTTCATCCGATTTGACATATGTCAAAAAATGTCGAAGGATACTCTTATAGACTTAAAACATATTTGATCATATAGCAGGTGAAAAGATATTGTAATAATAAACCATCAAGCTAATTATGTCTTTTGACTTTTTTCGTTGCTTGAGAAACATTCTAATAATTGGAAAAAGAAAAGTGAACAAGCGCATATGTACACCTGAATAATGTCTATTCACATCCTATATGTTCAATATTTGAATAAGAGTGACAGACTTGTGTACAATTTTTATTTTTGCTTTCTCTGTACATACCTGCATTAAATACATCGTTGATTCAAAGGTAAGAACGCAGAAAAAAAAACGTTATCATACGCCGACGGTCAATTGATGTTAACCTTTGCTTATGGATGAGATATCCGTATGTATATATGCATGTTGATTTAGTCGTAGTAGTCACCATCAAGTTTTGATAAAACAAGAACAAAAAAACAAAAAGGTTATTCCAGATTTATTATTTTTTTGCCTATGATAATGTTGACCAGATGAATCTCATACGAATGGTATGTGTTCTTTTGCATTGAATATATCTATTGATTGTATGTTTATATTTAGCATCGATGTGCCAATGTCAATTGCCTTTCTCAACGAAAGGAAAGTATTGGTGATAATAATAAAACGACATTTACTCGAAGAGTTTATCAGGTAGATGCAATAGTGATATGGTACGAAGATGTTAAGCTTTGGATAATCGAGGAATTTTGCGATTTGCTTTTATGTTTTTCTTTTTGTGTTAGTCAACTGATAAAACGAAATGAAAATAAATGCTTATATAAATCATTTGGTCAGCTTCTTTATCTTGCATCAATAGATCGATTAAGAAAGAAATGTAATCATCAAAATGATGATTTATTATTAATTAATGCACCAGATTTAAGTAAGATTAATCAAACTTGATAGAAAAAAAAAGAAAACCTGCTGCTTGTTATTTTTTGTTTGTTTGATAGTCTCTGTTGCTATTCATTGGAATTCATCTCAATGTACTACAAGTGATGTCGAAGATTTTATTTCGATTATCGAACCATTTATTTATTTAAGAGAAGTAAATATAGTAACAATCTGATGCATAAATGTCCTCTTTTTTTCTCATATATTTTTATAGTTATTTTATGACGTTGCTATAAGTGACGCTCGTATAAAACAACTTAATCTCATTGGTCTCATTTGTTTTTATGGTAGTACTATTGAAGTATTCTTTTCCTATGAACATACAACATCACAATGGCTCTTTTGTTTTGATGGAAATATAACGATAGCAACGGATTGGAATGCTGTTATAAGAAAATGTATTGATTTTCATCTTCAACCATTTCTTCTTATCTATGCAAATTCTCAACAACATCCTGTGGATATCAGTCAATTACTTAAACGAACTGTGATTCAAGCAAAAAGTAATAAAGACTTTTTTTTTAATTATAAGACACATGAAAGAAAGACTTGAAAATTATGATTGCATCATTAATAGTGTAGTTTGTTCTGTCTATACAATCATGATAATAGATCTCGCCTGGCTATTGCTTTTGTTATATTACGATATCCATACACGTTGAAGAAGAAGGAGAGACAGAGAGAGAGAGAGAGAGAGAACAGTGATGAACGATAAATGTATAGCTTGTTGTTATTCATTCCTTTTCTTTTCTTTTCTTGTCATTTATTGTACATGATTAGAAAATAACATCGACTGATAAGTATTGTTTCTTACTTGTAGTTATACCTTATAAAAAAAGATTCGAACCAATAAAACATTCAATGTCAAAACAAGAACAAATTCCATTAAATGAAAATAAACTTAAACATGAATTACATTCATTAGAAAATCTTTCGAAGATATCATCATTTGCAACATTAAATTCCTCAATGTTATTTATGCCAAAATCGCCGACAACAACAACAACAACATCTTCTTCTACATATATCAATCAAGAAACTGTTGCTAAAGTCATGCAACAACAACTATTAAAAAAAGAATCATTGTCTGATATAACATCATCAATATCTTTTCCATTAATGTCATCACCTCGTGTTCATGTTCGACAACAATTTCCGCAAAAACAAAAGTTTGATGATACATTATCCAGTAGAGATTCATCAACATCATCGCAACGTGATTCTGGCTTAAGTAGTGGAATTAATGATGGATCAAGTGATGATAGTCCAAGAGATAGTCTTGTAGATAATGAACAAACAGAACGAATGATGAGTAAGTAGAAATCAATTTAATTGATATCTAATTCAATATTATTTTTTATTCTGATAAAGACACATAAAATATTAGGATAATGATTATAGGCTTTCCATTCAAAGATTTTATATCTGTCGAGGGATGTTTTACTTCCCAATTGTGTCTTTGTCATTGAAAATACCAATATAGGAGATAAGAAAGTTTCTTTATGTTATATTTATTAGATTCATCGACGTTTTTGTAGACGAATATTTGCCTTCAAGATTTAGATTACATTAAATTATACCTTAAACTATTCTATATTCTTCATAAGATATTATAAAATAAAGAAAAAACTAAAACTAGCTAAGAATTTTATTATGAACATAGAACACTTTTTTGTAGTCATGCATTAGTCTTGGTTTGCTTGAATTAACTCTACGTAGTAACTATTCTTTGTCAGTAATAATCCGATTAATTGTTATTCGCATAATTATAATAGAAATAGACATTGATTTACAAAGAAGTATAAGATTGTGAGAAAGAAAAGTTTAACAACAATCCATTTTTCTATGATATTAAGCGCCTAGCTCAAATCCAGATAATGTTTTTTATAGTCAATAAAATTTTCTATCTAATGCATTCTATATCAAGATTTCTTAAAAACCGAATTCTGGTAGTTTTCAGGTGTCAGAAACTATTTTTTCAACAATTCCATTTTAAAAAATTTTCTTCAACAAAGTCTACTAGAATCTAAAAACTACCATGTCATTAAAAATAAACATAAAAATTAAGTGTTGCTTTTTTTAAAATTTTAATTTAGATGATAATCATCTCGATATGTCGTTAGCTTCAATTGAACATTATCTAGAACAATCATTAAAATATGAAAGTGCAAGTAATTATTCATCTGCATTAGAATCTTGTCAACAAGCATTATTACTAGTCGATCAAATACTTAATTTAAATCTTAGTCGTAGTACTAATTTATCAACGTATGCTCGAACAAGAAAAAATAGTTTATTATTAAGAATACGTTCATTAAGAAAACGACAAATTCAACAAGAGGAAGAATTAAATAATGCTTCAACTTTGACATTTCAATCTGTAGAAAATATCGAAAAGAGAAATGATAATACAATAACATCATCAATACTTTTATCAACAAAAAGATTATCTCGTCCGAAAAAAAATGTGAAATTTTCTGATAATGTTGCATTAATTGTTCCAACATCAGATGATATTCATGAACCACCATCCGAACATTTAATTCATTCATTTTTAAGAAAAATTCATCAAAACCAAACAACATCAGATTCTGATTCTGATACACCATCATCATCATCATCATCCATGAACATTCCTATTGGTTTAATGGAATGTTCTCTTTGTTATAAACGATTTTCAAAAACAAATCAAATTGGAACTTATTGTTCAAATTGTCATTTTTATATGCAAAGATTTCAACCAATAACATCTTAAAATCAAAAGAATTTCTTTTCTATTGAATCTCATTTACATATATATTCTGGTGCTATTATTTTTCTTATTTATTCGGTTTTTTGTTTGTTAATATACTTCAATTTTACAATAGAAAAAATTTATATTATATAATATATGATTTTTCGACTTACTTTGACGATTTAAACTTAAAAAGATTCGGATCCATGGTCGGCTAGTAAAGAGTTATGGCCGGTTAAATGAAGTTTTTACCGAGAGCGAGGCTTTTCCGAAAAATTCAAAACAAAAAGATTCGACCTGAAAGTTTCAATGAAAACGAATATGCCTTTCTTGAGATATTCGATTTCCTAGTAGACTCAATTGTTGTGTCGTCCTATTGTAAACCACTACTTTTTTGGATATTGAATATTTCAAAAAGGGCATATTCTTTTTCTTTTCTATTGTGTCATTATGCTTCAGTAAAGCAAACGTAGGAAGAATTTAAAATATATAAAAATTTGAAAAAGTTTTTTGACGATCGAAAACTAATCGTCACAAAAAATTAGCCGAAAAACTTTATATTAAAAGATCACAGTTTGTTCCAGTAAATAAATTTATTTTGAAAGGGATAAGTTAAATAGATACGAAAGAAATATCCTTTTACATTTTTCTTAACGATATTCATTGTTGAATGGATTGATATATCAATTTTTGACCTTGAAATTATCTTAAATTGTTTCTCAAGCAACTATCACTCAAATGAACCACATACAACAATGCAGTTAAAATCCTTTAGCATGATAATAGTCACATGTTTCGTCCGTTTCTTTTTTCTGCTGCGTTGAATAAATAATTGAAAGGCATATTCGTCTACATAGGGATAAAGAACTCAACCAACTGTGAATTTCTCTTCCAAAACAATTTCATCTTCTCGAATTCAATACAAAGTCATCAGTTTTTATGTATTTAATCATTGTTCTTCTCTTTCCATCAATTGAATGAATTATTTCTATGTACAGTTGAATTAATCTTTCTGTTGGAAATATAGCAATAATTCAACTATAGATATAAATAAATCATTCAATCGATGAGAATTCTCTTGTATTTACTTTTCTTCATACAATGAATTATTGTTACATTGGAATAGAAAGAATAACTTATTGCATGAATCAAAGAACTTTCTTTTCCCTTTCTCTTTTCTATCAGCCTATTGGATTGTTCCGTATTCGACACAGAAATTCTTCTTATTGAAGCACACTACCGCTAAATTTGATATTTCGACTAAGTCAAAAGCTTCATAAGCTGATAAACGAGAAGTTCAGTTCGGAAATGTGCTTCGTACCGAGTTTGCACTACGGGCTTAGCCCATGTGTCATCTCATATTTTCAATAAACAGAAACTTGTAAAGAATAAAAATCCAAGAAAAAGATATTCAACATCATTCGAACCTATATACTCGATAATTATTGTAAAAGAACTGATATGATTTTACTGAAAAAATATTTTATTATATGAGTCATGATTTTATTTTTATTTAAAGAACACATTTAGTTGTAGTTTATTCTGTAAAATTAATTTCTAAACGCTTTCATTGTTGATGGTTTATTATAATAAGATTATTCACAAAAAAAAAAGATTCTTTCTCTTTTTGCATTTTCTAATTCATGTATTTTCTTTCCAACAGATTCATTCAGATTTCTGTTCGTTTTCTTCTGTTTAATCTTGTTGAGCATAGTTTAAAACATAACATTTAAAACTATCATCACCTTTCCATATTCTGCAATTCATTTCAACTGAGATAACATTCAAATCGATTCATATAACTGTTGCTAATTTAAATGCTAGCTGCGGTGTACCTTCTCAAGTATGTTCTTAGTTTTCCTACTATAATGCTTCATTTTATTTTCGTTTCGAACTTGTAGTGAACTCCGTAAACTATCAATTAATAAAAAGTTTTTTTTTTTAATAAAATATTTTCCTACCAGTAGAGACGATACATGATGGAGATGTATTGTGTAATACATAACGATGATCGTCGCCAATACTAATATCATTATTATTCGAAAGTTTCAGAATAGTTGCTAAGAGATTTCTAGAAAATGAAAGCTCTAGCATTTCAGCGCTTGTAAATCAAATATACAATTTACTCCCGTTATACGTAATAATAGAACAAATAGTTTTCTACAAAACGAGTCATTCTCCACCTTTCTACGATTTGTTTTAGCTGAACCATATCAGATTCACGAAAGGCCTCCAACAGAGTCTTTAGTCAAGTTGCTCTCCTCACAATCGGCATTGGCGTGATTAAGCCGTCGTCACAAACGAAAGTGTGTCTGATCAAGCGATCCATATTCTTCATATGCCGAAGATATTAGCATTCTATTTCAATGGTTGTTTCATCAGTGACTCTTCTGGAATCGCTACGTGAGACAAAGGATTAATTACAATTTCATAGAAGCTCAAAATATGTTCCGTTCATCTAAATTTTTTTTTTGTTAACTATTCTAACCCAGTATCTTGCGCAAAGTATTCTCTACTGATACAATTTTGTTTTTATAGACATCAACAATTTTTATTGAATTTAAATCAACACGGAATCCAGAACATTTATTAAAGATTTGACGCAATTGATATTCTTCTTAAAAATGTAATAACAGAACCGATCTATTGCTTCTTCCTTGAACACATATTCGATGCTTTTGAAATACTTATTTGATGAGAATTTTAAAAAAAGATGAAAAAAGGAGGCAAACACAGAAAACACTGCATGGTCAGTCTTCACTCACCCTCGCATCGACAGATTATCAAACAGGTTGAAAGCTCTGAGATAAGCAGCAGACGAGTGACCTAAACTCCATTTTTTCTCCAACAATCGTCCAAAAAGAGATTTACTGACTAATTTTACCATGAAAGTAAAACTGACATACTGAAACAATAAAGCTGTCTTTTTACTACTCACGGGTTAGAAAGAAGAACTATTTTTATCATGACAACTTGAAATGTTAAGTTCTTACACCATCCTTATTAAAATGTGAAAAAAATGGAGAACAACATGGATTTTATAACTTAACCGTAGTGAGTAGCTTCTTAAGAAGATTCGAAATCTTTTTATTCATCTCAATTCTATGATATTGTCTGTGTCTAACATGATTTGTTGGCCTGTTTTCCTCCCACTCTATTTAGAAATTTCCGCTATTAAAAAGATCAGAAACGAGAATCTGTATAATGTAACTACGAATTTAACGAGAGAATGCATAAAAAGAACACGAACATAATGGAAAACGTTGACTGTGGGTCTATATTAGGTTGTCTCGATTATTTCAAAAAATACGCTGTTACCAATTCTAACTCGACGTAGAACAATGGACAACACGAAACGAAAAAGATAAGTGGACCTAAGATCATATCCATCATTGCTACATAAACCAATACAATTGAATAAAATCGTACAGGCAAAAAATGTCACATTCGCTTCCAAGTTGATGATACCCTAATGTATCAAAATTCCACTGCCATAATTGAACCCATTCCCTTGAATTTTCAAGAAAACAACGCTATTTTGTCACAAAACCCAACCGTGCCATACTTGAAGAATACTCAAAAATACCTATTACTTGTGATAGCTATACACATCTACACCACACTCTATATCTACCCTTTCAAAAATTCTTTGTGAATTTCATTGAGTGAGAATAGATCATGTATCTTGTTTGTAATCTTCGGATCATTGTCGAACGGACATAGAGTCAAAGCCATCTGATGAATCTCTTAGCCGAGACGAAGTTGTGATAATAGTTACTAGAAGCATCCACAATCTCACCCAAATGATGACGAACATACTATGCGCATAACGAATCAACGCTTAAAAATGTTAAAGTTCGATTAGTAACAAATACAAATCGAGCACTCGAAACATTCTTTGTACACAAGAAACTTTCAAGCGAAATGTTAATACACATGGGGGACAGATAGACAACACCAACTCTAAAGTTATAATCAATACCTACAACACATAACATCAAAAAAGGAACATTTCTTTCTCAGACAAATTAATCATACTATTTCATCTTGAAATAAGTGAAAACAAATATTTCTCTTCTTCTGATATTACACTTCCACTAATACAATAAGCTATTTTCACAAACAAATTTGATATACTGCACCCTTCATTTGTCTCTTACTCTAGACAAAACTAATTTCGTGAATACTATCAACACGAATACACGATCAAATAAACCGCCAACCATCAGGAATCAATAACATAAATCGATCACCTACAATAACCTACTCACCCGAGTCCAATACAAAATCACAATATCCAAACATGTAGTATAGAGCTTGAAATGATTATTTTGCGAAAACATTCGTATACGCACCAATTATTTAAGAATAACTACGCCATACATATAACTTAACTGAAAATATATCGTAAACCTTTGAAATTTTCTTGTTGTAAGTCTTTTTTGACTTTCATAGAGTTTATTTCAATATGTAGATTTTGCTATAATTTCTCTCTCTGTTATGTTTATGTAGTTTTAATTCCGAGTATACCTGATGATGACCATTTGAGCAAAAGTCGAAACGCGTCGTATGCTGTTTGCAATTATTCTAATATAAACATACATCCCCTCACACCCTACTACGGATTGATTCGAAATTTCCTTGAAATTTTGGATCTTTTATACAAGTATCCTAGTGCAACTTGATAAGATGAGTTTTTTCTTCAGCAACATCGCAATATCAGGTACTGTGGTAGCTTTACGCACTCACACTCTTTACCGACAAAATAAGAACTCCAAAATTTTTAATCAATTGATGAGATTTTCTAGTCGAATAAGGGCCACTAGGACATTATGAAATGTTGGTCTTGGATAGTTCTCGTTTATTTAAAATAAGAAAAAAAAGATTGATAAATTATCGAAAGCAAAAAAAATGTTTTTCATTATGACGAAGCAAAGCAAGAGAGCCTAGCACATAGGATTGATGGAAGGCACTCCGAGTGCGAAACAATTACGGATACGTCTGTACGTGTTGACTCGAGT